GGCAGCTCAGGGAGAAATGTTGTATTTAGCTACACGCATAGAACAAGGTAAGAATTGGTCTCTGGATTTTTATGGAGTTTTTGGCAGAGATAATATGTGCTAATTGGGGTCTCTACCGGGGTTCTTTCTTTAAAGGAAGTTTCCATTTCTTCCTTGCATCCATTCTTTTTCTCCAGTTACTTCGAAATAAATTCAAAATCATTTTAGTTCAATTAATCAATGTCAAATCATTTTATATCGGCATTCATACAAATGCTGATATATACTTACAACTATGTACCAGTATTGCAGAAACAACAGATTTAAAAGCAGTAGATAGACTTGCATTATGGGACTTCTATTTTTTTTCTTGGGAAAATATATTTATTAGCAAACCTTTTCTTATAATAGTATGAAATTATTATCCAAGGTATCCTGTAATTTTGGTGAATCGTATGACATGAGCAAAAGAACATTTTCTTGAATAAAAGAGTTTTGCTTGTGTAAGCTGCTTCTTACATCATTATTGTTCAGTTCTGACAGGATTTCCTATAACATTTCTTAAATTGCAGTGTTGTCAAAAATAATTTTGTTTCTTACCTCTGAGATCAATCTGTGCACCTATTTGATGACTATTTGATGAATGTAAACAACTAATAATGTTTTAGAGTGGTGTTTTTTTTAAACGTCAACAAGAAATTCTTAGGATTTTTTTGTAGTATGGAATTTGTGTAGGAACATATAAGAAAAGATTTTTATCTGATCAAACATAATTGATTTAAACTAAAAAGAAAGAAAAACAGAAAAAGCTGTTTTAACATCTCAGACTGATTAGTAGCTGAGATATGGTTGAACCTTGAGCCAAATGTAGATGGAGAGCGTATTTTGCAACCCCCAAAGTACTATGAATGGGATGCAGGGCTTGACAGTAGTTTAGGTAATTTGGGGGCAGAATAAATGGAAAGTGAGTTCATCTGTATGTTTTGTTGAACAGAAAATGTTATTAATCATATGGATGAAGAAGGCTTTACTCCTCTAATGTGGGCTGCAGCTCATGGGCAAATCGCAGTAGTAGAATTTCTACTCCAAAATGTAAGTGAAATTGTATTGTATTTTATATATGCCTAGTGATGCTACAAACAGATGTTTCTTTCCATCTGAACGTCAATTGTTAAAGAAGTTGAATCAGTACCAGTATAAAATATAAAAACTGAGAAATGAGTATGCAAGTGTTGTGACTGTAGCCTGCATGTCGTACTTCAGATTCATAAGCCATATCCTTATGAGTGAAAATGGTTTCCTTGTCTAATACAGAGCAAGATTTTCTAACTTTTCGTGTTGAGTATAGTAAACGTTTGGTTTTTTCTGAAGCCAGAAAGTGTATAGATAGGCTGGATGTAAAATAGCATTTCAATCTTCCTCAGCAGCCTATGATCAACTTTTGGATCTTCAAACAACTGGAAAAGTGCAGGAAATTGAATGAGAGGACTATTTGGTTCAGAAAACATTTGGTTGCTATAGAAATTTGTAAAACATATAACTAGGAATTTGAATTACGGTTTTTAAAAATTATTTTTGTATTCTATATTTTTTGGTACAAATTGGGTGTTTAATTTCACTGTTCATCCACATTTCAGGATGAAGATGAATTTTTTTCCTTTAGAATTTTCTGTGATCTGTAATATTTTGAACCCTCTCCTTGTGGTCTATAATAATTTTGGGCAGAGGATTTTTAATTTGAAGAAATCCATTACTATCCTGTTACCTGTCCAGAATGGCATATTTTCTTTTGGATTTCTTTTGGATAAACTATTTTGCAAGCTGCTTGTTATCATGACCAGACCTGTTCTTACCACAGTAGATGGTGGCAGCAGAAACTATCAAGCTGCTGCCCCAAAGCAGATGGTGGCATAAAAACTCAGAGCGCATTTGGGAAACAAAGTTTAGGACCATCAGCCTTTTGTGGGCATGGGCCTGTTTAAGGCAAGTAGGTAACATCAGTAGAACTTAAAATGTTTTGATATGCAGTTATAAGTGCAGTACCATCTATAAGTGGTACTGCATTAGTCACCTATTAAGTATGTTTCCATTTATAGAAATAATTTCATGACCAGTTTGTTAATCGCCCATTTCTCTATTTCTGTATGTCCTATCTCTAATATTTTCATTGGAGCAATAAAAACCTTTTCCCCAGAATCATACTAAATGATAGATTCATCAGTACTTAAAATATTGTTTTGTGTTCCTGTTCTACAAGAGGGATAGTGGGAAATATACTGTATTTTTTGGAGTATAAGATGCACC